CACAGTTTATTGATTAAACAAATAACTACTTACTTCTTACAAGTTTAATTAGTCGCATTTTGTAATTTTTAACTTCCAAACCATCAAATTCAATTTTGTGATTTGCGTAAATGCCAACCAGCTGTTTTTGATCAGCTGTTTTCCTGTTGGCAAATTGCTGTTGGCAAAAATTTTTCCAGCAGAAACCAGCAGTTTCCCCTCAAAATGAAATGTCACTTTGCTCTCTCAATTTCCCCTACTTTGTAAGTTTTTTGCGTACGCGAACGCAAAAACTTGTAAGTTTTGGTTAAACATGAACAATTAACAGCTACGCGAACGAACCTAATTACTTGTTTAACTGGATTCCAATGAATTTGAAAGTGTTTTTGGTTATTTAGATGTGTGAGCTGAGTGTGTTTACATACAACATAATCAAAAATTTACAACCAAAATTTGGAGGTTATGTTGAAGTTGACAGAAGTTACCATTTTTTACTACAAAGCGATCCCGTACTTTTTAATGTTACTCTCTCGCTCTGAGCGAATTTTTATTTTTTGACAGTTTTACTAGTCCGAGTCCGAGGAATACGGGATTGCACCTATTAGGACTAAAACTGGTAACTTCTGACAGAGAGTGAACCGTATTTACTCTCTATTTTGGTTCTCTCAATAGTCAGAGAACCGAGTACGGGATCGATTTCCAGTAAAATCTGACTGATTCTGACTAGTCCGGACTCGTACGGGATCGCAACTAAAATGAAACTATACTAAATGCACACCCTATGTAACTAAGTACATATATAATCATAAAATATTTTTCTATAGTTATACACTCAAACATTACACAACGCTAAAAGAAGCAATGTATCGCATCGACATAACTGAAAACTCACTTGATTTTGCTTAAACTAAACAAACCTGCAAATAAAGACGTAGTTAAAAGGGAAAGAGCACATAAAATTTCACAAATTTACAACTTTTGCTGGAAACTAAGTTAGTAGTTAACGAAACTACACCAAACAGCCGAGTTCAGGCGATTGAAAAGCGCAAGAAATTAAAATAAAAGTAAAAATGAAAGGAAATAATTAAATACAGTGTAATAAAAAATAAAGCGTGCGATGTAAAATACCGCCAAACACTTTACTTTCAGTTGATTTGCATTTTTGTATGTTTTTGGATCCAACAGCAGCAGCAACAACAACAATACTAAACGCATGCAAAGAGTGAAACCTCAAATGTATGTGAACTTCAATTGTAGCTCAGTATGCAGCAAGCGTGCCAGTTGTTGTTGTGGATATTTGTTGTTGCACACAATTGGAATATTAAATAATAGCGAATACTGTTTAGTTTAGTAGTCTTTGTCGGATTTTAATTGAAAAGGAGTTCTATGGTCTTTGGGAAATTGAAAAGGAGGACTTGTATGCAAATATACGCAGCTTTAGATAAAAAATATTTGGTGTAGCCGTCTAAACAAAACGCGACAAAAAAGCATCAAATATAGTAAAAGGCAAGTAAGCACTAGTGTAAACCCAAACAAAATTTAAAATAAACTCACTATTTTGAGCCTTGACTAAAATATAAACGTACATACATACACATACGTATCAAGGAAATCAATTTATGGCAACTGATTAGGCGCTGAGATTAGAATGACTCGCCGCTTGAGAGCGCTTTGATTGCCATCGAGGCATACAAGAAATTAGATGTTCATACATATAGATATATATTGTTAAGCTTAATGCAAGCATGAAATGGGCACATCGTTGGCGCCGTCGATGAGGTAAATAAAACAATGATAGTTAGGACAAGTCGAAAGACGTCAGCGCTAGCTAACAACAATATTGAATCCAAAACAAAATAAAGCTAAAATAGAGCAAAATGGAACAGCAATAGCGAAAGCAGAAGCAAGGACCAATGCACCAACCTCCTTGCAGCTTCAGTCGTCACTAGCTACACACATTCATACGTACATATGCACATAAAAAAACCTTCCCTCCCCCTTGAATCCACTCACTATTCATACATTTATGCATAGCGTTCAGTCACTCCCTTGCCCTTGTGACAACAACCCCACCCTTGGTACCGGATTCCACCCGCAACCCGAAATGCAGCACATGTGTTCCGCAAGCAAACTGGGTCAAAGCAAAACGTTTGTATCGTAGACGCAATCACAGCCGCAGAGGCAGCATACAGCGCGTCAGTCGCATGCCCCAGTGATTCAAGGACGAATTAAGTTAAGGACGCTTATACCTAGCTAGTATGTATGTTTATTTGTATGAGCGTCGTTTATGTTATCTTGTTTGTGGATGTGTATGTTCACTTGCATGCTGCATCAGCAATAGTAGCAGCAGCAGGAGCGTCATCAGTGCAACATAACCAACAAGCATCCTTAAACCACCCAATTTTTCTATGCAATTATCACTAGGTATACATACATACATGTGTAGGGAATAATTAAAATACGCACTCACCTGCTGCAAAGTGTAGAGGTGTCGACTTTCGTCCAGCGGTGTCGCGCGCATTCACAGTTTGTGTTGTAATGAGCTTCTTTACCTTTGCAATGTCACCCGTTTTACATGCTTCGAAAAGCTCTCGCAATGGATCATTGGCCATTGCCGCATCGAGGTTTACATTGAGTATTGCGCGACTGCGACTCGACATTTTGGAATGACTGCGGTGCCTAGGTGCGTCTAAAGTACGATTACAATTGCAATGATTGTGATGCTAAATTATTACTTTAGACAATATGCAGTCGTCTGAAAATCACCAGTCCAACAGCAACAACTTCAGAGCAAAAACAATGTACTTGTTTAGCAACTAATAACCTCCGTTTTTATAACTTTTCCAGCTTTGTGAACTTAAAAACTTTGTAGATACATCGGTATGTACATACCCGTATGTTGTTATATACAATGTCGTTCCTTGTGGCAATCAACGCAGTATGTAGATCCAGAATGCTTACTGCTCCTCACCTTTTTGTATCCGTGACTGCAGCCACTTTCCAACCAGAGAAACACAATCCTCCACTTGCCTTTTTATGACTTTCTTTCGTTGTCTACCCTTTTGTATGCGAACTTTCCCCAACCACACTGCGAAAACACCTTTTTTTGCACTTTTTGCAGTTAAACACGGCCTCGCCCGTTTTCCAATGAAAATTATAAATTTTATTAGATTTTCTACAATAAAATCGATAAGTTTTTCATTTTTCACAATTTTTAGCAACTGCAGCACAAAATGGATAACATTTTTGCCGATTAGTCGAACGTCCAATGCTGAGTTGAAAAAATCACTGCAGAAAACAAGAAAAGTGCACAAATGAAGAAAAAAAAATTGGGAAATCCGTCGAGTTGCCAGATGTTGAGTATGACTCATTTGCATTCAATTATCGTATAATATACGGCAGTAGCATTACTAAAGCGAAGGTAATGTTTTAAGTGTTATTTTATTTGCAAAGTCCACTTTTTATGTACAAATTTCAAGGGAACTCTTCGGGTGCTATTTATTCGGGATTTTATAAGAGCGCGATGTGGCAGCACTTGTTATCGAAAAAGGTGGAAAAGGAACTGATTTAAAAACAGAGCTGCAGAATTGCAAATCGTAATTTAGTACAATCACATATTTCATGTAAATTATTAGACGAGCAATATGAATTCAAACTTTTGTGTGTGCGCACTTTGATGTCTTGATATAAGCATTTGCCGCATGACGCCACCAGACAACCTTCTCTCAATTTCGGTGTTTGAAAACATTTAAATCCAAAAAACTTGCTGAATGATTTCCTAAAACGTAACCATCATTATTAATCCAATGGGGAACAGATTTTTATTTAGATTTGATATCAAAATTTCATTGATGTTACCACCAGCACGCTTTCTTTCAAATGAAAATATGGTTGTCAAACTATCAAATTGCAAGCAATAGATGTCAAGCAATAAGCGCTGACATATATTGCAGCCCATGAGATATAGGCAGTCTCATTGGAAATATGTATATTCAGGCTTTCTCCCATTTTCCTTTACTCCTATCATGAATAAAAATTCTCTGAGGATTTTTTACTTTAAATAGCGAAGTTGAGTTGTCAAAAAACTTTCAAACAGCTCTTTCGAAGTTCGAATTTCCTCCTCCCAAATTTACGGGGAAAAGGCTATTCCCTGGGAGTTCATTATTGGAGAATTTCTTTCTGAGGAGAAACAAATTCCCGGGAACAAGCTCCCCGGGAGTATTCAGACATGGTTATCCCGACCTCAGTGTATTCCTGTAGAGGCAGTGCCTTAGTATTGTATATTTCCAGTCAAGGACTATCGCAATCGATACAATTAACTAAACATAAATGATTCTAGTCTCATGATTTTTGTGTATGCAGTGATTATTTATTAGTACTAAATTTTCTCAGCTTTCTGCCGGAAAGTAGGCAACTCGGGTTTTTTTTAGAAGTAAACAAAAAAAAAATGCATTGCAATGCACGATAAATGTCAAACACAAATGGCATAACCGAAAAGGGCAAAATGGCGTTTTTTGTTGGTGAGGAATTTTCGGAAGAACTTGTTTTGTGTCAGAAAAATTAATAAAATTAAGTGCAGCTGCATTTAGTGAAAAAAAAACCAATTAAAATTAAAAGGAACCTATCCGTAACAAAATGAGATGTAAAATCAATGAAAATGTTATGCATTAAAAGCAACCAGTTAAATGGAATTCGAAGTGGATCGCAGATGGAACGCCCTCAATAACATTCCTCACGCTCTTCTCCAATAGACATACAACAACACAGGTGTGCACAATGCACAACTAGAACTTGTCAAGTGCAGTTTTTGCAGCACCCAACATGAAAACAACAACAAAAGAAGTGACGGGGCAATAATTGGTAGCAAGAAAGGGAAACATCTAATTTTTATTGTGGAAAGTGAAAATTTTTGCTAAGCTTTTTTGGGAAGAATCGATATTTTTAACTTTGTTTTCGTAGCAATAACAACGAAAAATTCTTCAACAAAAATGCATTAATAAAACTGCATAAAACATAAGCGAAATAAAAATAAAATCATATATGTACATATGTACATATATGAACTTTATGTAGAAATATACACAGCAAAAAGGCACACATAAATGTGTCTGCATGCATACGGCTAAGAATCGAAATGCACTAAAAAAGTAAGAACATTGGTAACCGTAATAGCAACGACAAATCTATTTCGCTTCACTGGAGCGTTGCGTTGCAGCGGATTCGTGGTAGCATTGGCTACAGCACGCAACTATTGTTAGTTGCTACGCCACACAGCGCTATATAGTTGAGGTGCAACGTGCACGCGATCAACGCTACTACGGCTGACGCTCCCATAGATGATGCTTTCCTAATGAGATACAATAAAATAGATTTGAAATTGGTGCATTAAAAGCAATTAGCGCTCCACGATGGAATTGAAGGTATGGGTGGAGGGCATACAACGGATTGTATGTGGCGTTACAGTGAATACAACATGTCAGGTGCGTAAATGTGAACTTTATATATATGTATATACTATGTTTTAGTAATTTACAACCACATAAAAATAACACAATTTTAATTAGTTGAATCGTAAAAATATGAAAAAAGCTTATAGTTAAACATACATATATTTACATACTAGATACTAAATTTGATATTTTTTATTTGAAGATATGTAAAGAGCCCGTCAGATGTGGCAAAGCAATATATTTCGAAAAGGCTATCAAACTGAGAGAGTTCAGAACATTTCGGTGTGTGAAGAGCCAGAAAACCTTTCTGTAACATTTCGGAAATCAGTTTCAGAAATAAAAGTTGCAAGATGTGACCAAAATGTATTCAACAAAGTGTGATTGAAGAACCATCATATAAAGTCAACTTGAAAAAATTTTGTATGAATTTTAAATCGATTGTTTATATTTTTTGGCATAATAGTAGCTTAAAAGATAGCCTACCTGAGTTGTCAATCACACCTTGTTTAATACACCTTGGATGTGACTACAATTGAGAGAGCGCAAATCGATTTCGGAAACATATTTCAAATTGTTCGTGCTGCACTAGCAATCTGCAATTTGCCTTCGGGAACCTCTTTCGAAAGACACATAAAAGTGCAAGGTGTGACTGCTCATGCAACTGCGTGCTGAAATTTCTCATTTTGACAGCCTTTTCGAAATATATTACCACGTCTGACACGCTCTATTGCTACGTCTGATACGCACTTAATAATGATTGAATTTCTAGCAGAAACTTTGCTATATCCAATCAAATATTAATGAGCTTATTATTACAGTTTATCCATATGTACAAGCATAGAAATTATTTAGCTGATACATATGTAACTAGTTTGTGGTTGGATATTACTTTTTATCTCGAAGCATAATTTCAATGAGATTACATTTTTTCGTTATGTAGGATGTGGTTTTCGCGCTGGCGCATGCCACTGGCAAAGTAGGCCGTTTTACACTAATAGAACGTTGGCGCAACAATGAACGCTTGCTGGCGCCGAATGAAAATCCGCTTAAGCTATTGATAGAATGGGGTGAATATGCCAATGATGTGCAATTTATACTGCAGCGTTCGGAAAACAAACAACAACAACAGACTACACAACAGCAACAACAAACACTACGGATGGAAAACTCTGTTGGCAATAACACTAGCAACAACAATAAGAATAACAACAATACTAATCCTGCAGCAGCTGTGATGTTGAGAAAGCCTTTAGGCTTAAGCAATAACAACAACAATAATAATAATAGTATCAGTAGTCATAGCAATAGCAACAGCAATAATAACAACACGAATAACAGTAATTATAATCAGCAGCAAACAAAGCCGCTCCACTTGGCTGACCTGGATACAAATTTAAATATATCGCCACACTTTGATAAAACACGTGAATTGAAGAAGAAGAGTTTTGGGTGTGTAAAATTTTTAATTTAAAAAAGTTTGTTATTAAATTAACAGTTTTTCTTTTGTCTAGTGCCCACGATGCAAAACTCATTGAAAATATTGGAATTGTAAAAGGAATTCCGCAGCGCCCCAATAATAATACTGCAAATACTAATAACAGTAATATTATTTCCAACAACCAACACCGAAATGTGCAACTTCATAAATCTTCACCCACACCAACCAATTCACCACTTTCTCCAAACTCCATACGCTTCTCTCGCTCACCTATTTCCTCAACCGACAACAATAATTCGTCGCCCCTACCACAGCTTATACCGCGCCATGAAAAATCACATTCAAACCCCACAGAAATGTCCAGATCGCATACTCAGAATTTTTCTAGCAATGCTGGTTTTTTTAATAGCTCACCGCAGACAAATGAAGACAGTAACAACAACAATAACATTTACCAACAAATTGGCTCACAAAATAGCAAATCAATTAACGAAATTAATTTGGCCGTTGTGCGCGAATCGCTGGATCGGCGCATTGCCGCTGATAGTCCGGATGTGCTATACGCCACGCCACACAGCAAAAGCTTCATTAGTGGTAGTGGCGTTAGCAATAATAACAATAATAATTGCAGCAATAGCTGTAGCAGCAGCAGCAGTGAAAATTTGCTCGACATTTACAATGGTAATGTAAATCGTGCAGGTGGTGTTGGTGTTGGTGGTGACATTCCGCCAGATTTGTTGTATAAAAATGTACCAACAATTTCAGCAAATGGTGCGCTAGTGCCACCGCCATATCGCGATCCACCGCCACCACGCAATAGTCCATTGCAGTTACAGCAGCAACAGCCACACCAATTTCATGCCCAGCAAATGTCAGCTGGTGGCATGGGTACGGTGGCAGTGAATAATTGCATGCAAGATTACAACAACTCTAACGATTACGATGTGGAGTTTCAGCACTTGGGTGGCACTGGTAGCACCGGTAGCACCGGTGTTGGCGCTTGCAGCGGCGGCGGCGGCGGTGGTAGTGGCAGTGTCGGCAGCATGGAGGAAAGCGAAAGCATATTCCAGGCAACGCAATACAATGATTTAATGCAATTGATTAAATTTCAACGCGAAAAAATTTCAGCACAACAGCTGGAATTGACCAAAGTATGTACTATATTTATTTTTAAATCTTGTTTTTTTTTGCACTTTATCGGTATTTATTTTATATATTTTTCGACTCTTTTGCAGTACGATGCTGAGATAGTTTATTTGGAAAATAAAGAACGCGATCAGGCGCAAGAGCTCGAAGCGATTTCACGTGAAATCACCAAAGCCGATCAAATTTTTCGACAGGGTAGTGAGCAGGTGAGTATATAATACAACACATGCATTTTATGTAGCCTGATATAATGTTGCTTTTAAAATTTCACGTACAGCTGCAAACACTACAGTATGTAGAGGAAGAGAATGAGCTCGTTAAGCAACAAGAGAAAACTTTAAAATCTGAAATTGCTTTGCTGCGCTCTAAATTGGCTAATTGTGAAACTGAATTACTGCAATGCAAGAATAAAATTCGATTGTTAATGAACGATATTGAGGTAGAACAGCGCAGTAATGTCACAAAGCAAAAAACGAATCGGTAAGTTTGCAAAATAAACATTTTAATGATGTAATGAATAGTTAATTATTAGGTATTTGATTTGTTTTTTGAATTACAAGATAACAAAATTTGTTTTTATTTGCTTCCAGTCAAAATGTTGAGCGTGACTTTCTCATGGAAATGGAGCGCATACAAAGCGAAATCGATCAGGCAATACACAACACAGATACGTCTAACAAAACAGCAGAGAATTTGAAAAAAGAAATTTTACTTATTGAAAATGCAATAACCGAGAAGAAGCGACAGGTGCGCTATAAAAATAGCGCATGCAAAATGTCTAAACTAAACTGTTATTATATTTTAGGTAGAGCAATTGGTGAACGAAATGAAAGAGGTTAATTTGCAAAGCCTCACCGTCAACACCTCCGAGGAAATTAAGCACTTTTTAGAGGGTATGCAGTCACTTGTTGGTTTTGCTATTGAAAAGTAATTTCTTGAATGTATACTTTTTCTTCCTTCCAAAAGGTTCCAACAAACCCGGGAGTAGTCGGCGCATAATCGGTTCACCCAGACAGCTGGAGAATGCAGTACCCACCAGCAAAAATCCACATGGTGTTTGGGTTTAATTTAAAAATGCGAAATAGAAAGAGAGGAGAGAGAGGGCTTTTTCGAGGGCTCTTTTGAGAAGTTAAGTGATGCATGAAGTCGGCTGCTGTTCTTAAGTAGTATTTGTGTTGGGCAAATACACGCTGCTATTGACAATGAATGTGCTAAATGAGTGATGAATATGCGTGTGGAAAATACTAAACGTAAAATTCTTCGAGGAAGTATTAAACACTCGCCTACATGAATATGTATAGATATATTCATATACCAGCTACTTATATAATGTTTTTTAAAATTTACTACACAAGCTTGCGCTAACTACAGTCAAACGAGTTACAAACTAACGAACTTTAAGTACTAGAAACAAATGTTGCATATCTGTCAAACAAGGAAAACAAACGAACCATACAAACAAGCATATTTTCAAATACATACCTAACTATTTTAAAGCAATCATATGAATTATATATCATACAATATTTTAATAATGTACTTAACAAAAAAAAAGTTGTATGATGGCAAACATTATGTAATATATACATACATATGTATGCAGATGATACATTTTGATGCTTAGTAAAAGCTCTTAATCAAAGATCTCTATTGAAACTTTAAATGTTACAAAACCGTTAAAGGTACACACATACATAACTTTTTATTAGAAATTGAATACCCATTTATAAATTTTAATGTTAAATAATAAGCTAATGAAAATCATGAAAGACATTTTCTATGCGTAAATTTAATTTAAAGTGACTACAGCTCTGCTCTAAAAATTATGAAAAAATTGTCAATAGTCACAAGTGTTTTAGTTTCAACTAATTATAAACATATGTATATGTATATGTTTAAAAATTATAAAGAAAAAGACGACAACACAACCGCATACATTCCATAGTTGCGTAGAGTTTTGCAACAATCGCTGTTACTTTGTTTTGATTTTTTTCTTGCTTAGACTGTTCATAAATTTTAATATTTTTTATAGTTCATATTAAAAACATTTTGGAGTGGAAATTTACCACCACACACTTAAAATTTATCATTCCCATTGTTGCTATATGCATAAAAAAAAAAAATTGTTGATTTAATTTAAGCGTATAAGTTTAAAAATTTTCGTATTGTGTTACTTAGCTAAAGTAAGCTTTCGAAAGCTAGTTTCCTGGAGCATTATGATTAAATTAAAGCTGTCAATTGTTTTTATTAGCTAAGCAACTTTTATCTTTTTTATAGCAAAATACTTTTTTACGAAACAATTGTGTGAAATATGTACATATGTAACTACATATGATGAAATTAAAGTTTTTACACCGCGTGCTGTTAGACAAGTACTTAGCATTATTTTGCAATAAGTTTATTGTGCTCTTTTATATAAATTAGGTAGATTAACTTTTCTTTGAAAAAGTAGTTAGTTTTTTTTTATAAAATTTTAAATATTTGTAGCCACAAGGAATTTCGTATGTACTTCTTATAGCTTATAAATTTTATTATTAACTAGCTTATACCCGTGGGTTTCATCCCACTTTTTATATGCAAATTAAATTAAAAATGTTATAATATTTAGAAATTTGTTATTTCTACTCTCATTTGACCATAGCGGTAAATGCATTTATAAGGGAGTTACGGTAGACTTTGCGAAGCTAATATGATATATACCAATCTCTGTAATTTTAGCTTAAAATGTTTGCAGCGATACGCCGCGAGCGACTGTGTCATAGGAACATATGCGACGTGTGTATTTTAATTTTTTTTTAATTGGGAGATACCGGGTTCCATTTTCAATTAACCCCCTAAATATGCAAAAGGGGATCCATAAAAAATCGTTACGATTAAAAAATGGTAAGATAAACAATTGGGTATTATTACACAGCTCAATAAAATTTGGTCAAAAACGGGACCGACTTCGTTTTTCGACACTTCAACAGTTATTTTCTCAAAAACTGGACGTGCTAGAAAAATTTTATAAATTCACTTCAAATCTGCATAAAAAAAAAACTGTAAAATGAGGTCGGCCCTGTTTTTGAGACAAAATACTATAAAATTTTGTTGAACCGTGTTATTGGTCTCCACGTGAAGAGAACAGAATTTTCCAATCGAAAAATATTGATTTCCAAGAATTCTATACCATTTCAACGAAAAACTGTTTTTCCCCATATAAAAATACATGGAAAACTTCATGGGCTTTGAGGTAGCTCTGAGTATTTTTTTTTTAACAAAAGAATGCCGGCCCTATTTTTTCCATTTTGAAAAGTCTTCGGGAGTGAGAGCTTAACATTTTAAGAAGAAGAAGTGTGCAACCAATCGCATTTATTCGCCTCGTTCGGAGAAATATTAGGGGTATTCTCGAAGTCTTGCACGTTGCACGAAATGCAAAAATACTATTCCAAATTCGCAAGAGTAGGTACGAGAGCACCCCATTGCAAAGTTGTAGCATGCCTAGGTGCAAACAGCAAAGTTCGGTATAAAATGCAATAACAAGAATTAGCAAAAAAAAAAAATTAAGTGAGCGAAGTAAGAGGAATAAGAGAAATACATATGTAGCCATTCTAACAACAAAACAGCTAGCACAGGGTCGCATTTATCTTGCTATGCTTTTTGGTGAAATATGCGATAGGAAATGTTGCAATCCGTGCTACGTGCAACGGCTTTGCAAAATTTCGAGAATACCCCTATTGATTTGAAGTCGTTGAATATCGCTTTCACATAAAACATCCTTTATACATTGTTTATCATCCAAATTTTCACTCAAAAGGGTCAGTTTCTTCAGTAACTTCATTATCATGACTACTTGTAAAATAAAGTATCGATTTTTATTAATTTTATTAGGTTGTGACTGATTTGTGGCGCCCCTAGATGTAGGGACTTCTGGGTCGCGGCCCACCCGCCCATTCTTTAATGCGGCTCTGGCCATATATCTGCCTATCTCAAGTCGATCAGCGACATGTTATAGGACTCATCCGATTTTCTGATAGAGTCAAGCCTCACCGTAAGGGTTTGCCGAAGTAGCTTACACAGCTTGGCCGACTCTTTCATGTTATCGTATTACTACAGAAGTCTTTATAGGAGCCTAATTTTGACATACGAATTTGCCTCTTAATACCTTATACAGAAAACTTCTGGACCTTTTACGAAGTTCCGTCAGTTCAGTACTTCCTCAAACAATCAATCAACCTTTCCTGTTTTTGAACCCACACATTTCCCACTACTCATACCGTTCGACACTTGACTGAGGAACTGATAATCCCAGCCGAAATTCGATGAACCAATGATCAGACAGATGTTACTCTTCCAAGACCATCGTTCCTTGAATGTGATCCGCCATATACAATTGTTATCGCAACGACATATTGGGAGCAGAAGCATCGTGTATTCGAATGAACGGTCCCATAAGGTGTCTAGTGTGAGGATCGTCAGGTTATAGGTATATGCGAAGAAGTATTGGGTGTTATGCGGACCTTGCCCATAAGCTAGGCAGGTTGTTGTTGTTTTAACGACCCCGCCTATTTCGGTTTGTCCATCAATCGATGTCGCCAAACTCAACTAACGGTAGGCCCAAGAAATGAACAGTTTAAACAGGGTTGGACTAAAGCGAGAGGGGTGTTAGTTGAGTGGGGTTGAGCTGGCATGCGAAATGATGGTTGGTGTTGTGCTGGGAATCTCCACATGCCGGATACTCAGTAGGCATTTTGGGGTCGAGTCTGGACAGGTAGCGGTAGTCGACGATGGCTATACGAGCTTAATTCCATGATTTTTGACAATTTTTCTGAACGACCTGCCTAACCCTAAAGTTTTAGGGCTGTTTTCTCAAGTACATAGCTTTTAAAACTTATCTACCCTACAAACACATTGTTTTGGAACGAAATTTGAGTTAGACAGATGATTTTTATCAAAGAAGGTTCGCCGTACACCCCTGTGTCTAAATTATCTCAGTTCTTTTCATCCGAACGTACTACCCTAATGTAAATGCGAATTCTTTCTTAGTGATGGTATTTCTAATTCTGACATTTCGGCTTGAAGGATATCATTCTAATTTGCTTGCAGCTTTTTGGGCTAGTATAGTCGTCCCTACCAACTTTAGGGATGAAGACGACGTTTAAGTAGTCTCCACGAAATCTTAATTTCTTGTATTTTTTCAATGCTTACAACATATGTATGTTGATTTAGTATAAAACTGCCAATTGCCAACTCCAATTTTTATTTTATTTTGATACGAAATAAAGTCTGCTAACTCCATTTTTTCATTTATGTATAACTTGAAAATTTAGCGAAAAAAACTTATTTTTTGTAAGCTCAATAAATAGAGTATACAAAAGGTAATAAAAGGGTATCTTGAAATTTTGAAGGTGAGGTAGGTAGTAAGTAGCACTAGAGCAGCTGATTTGGTTTTTTCCCAAATTATTTGGTCCCTAAACTGTAAGATAAACGCTCATTATTGGGTCCTGCAAAGGATGCCTTGATGCTTCTGGAATGAAAGAAATTTCCAAAGAAATAATCTTTTATTTAAGTTTTTAATTATATTCCACATTGCCCACTACGATATTTAAAAAAAAGCATACTATTTTTGACACTTAAGCAACAACAAAATACACGTAAATGTTGTTTTTGCTCGAATGCTACTACTACCTGTTTGATAAGCCTTGGGTAGTGCGTAGTTATTATTTAATGATGTCTTTTCGCTCTACTCTAAAATTTTACGAAATGGAGTTAGCAGCTTTTACCGCGGTGGCGACGATATATTGCTTGCATTTCTCCAAGTATTGTATGTAAATTATATTCACCTACATATGTACATATGTACATGTAGAAAATTTATGCTTTATCTAGTCTGTAGTTGATTTTTCTTTTTATTTCGAATTAGTTTGAATTTAGGGCTTAACTATTTTTACAATAAATATTGTCATTTTCAAAATGTCGGATTTTTTTTTTCAAATACGCAGCTAAGTAGTAAGAAATCTTACTTTATAAAAAAAAAAATTGTAAACTTCAAAATAAGTTTGCTTAGTAATTTGTTAATAAATAAATACATATTCACACTTGCTTATGTAACAGTTGCAATAATTATCGAAACGCCTTCTAATACTTAAGTAGTTTTGTAGGAATTAGTTGCCTATTAAAGAATATATAGATACATAACTTTATAGTTTCACAAAAAAAAAAACATTTTAAAAATATATACAGACAAATAAACACACCTTTTTAAGTACATGCATATGTATATATGTAATCGTATTTAGTACTATTTTGAATTTTGCATATCCCACGTGAAGGCCAGTTGTTAAGCCAAGCCGATGATAAATATTAAAAATAAATAATATGTAAACGCAAAGAAATGTTTTTTAGTAAGTTGCAGACATTTTATTTTATTTTTTTGAGATGTGCTCGCTTTAAGTGCTTATAAACAGTTTTAGGGATTTCGAAAAAAATGTTGTATGCGGTGTTGCAGCGATTACCAGTAAACATATTTTACAGTGGCAAAAAAAAAATCAATAACGGTAAACAACAAAAGTCGATTTTCAAGTTTTTTCGACTTGCAAGTGCGACACTTGATTACCCTCACTTACTACTAAAACTATTGATGTTCGACAGTAAACCTTCTTAAACCTCTTTAGTTTAACACCAGTATTGCAATATGTAATTTACCTTATTAATTTAATTAAATGAACATTTTCAAATAGGTGGCAACCTTCCACACAATTTTTTCGGTTGCAAGCCTTCTTAAACCTATTTCTTGTTTACAGCTATGTTGCAGCTCTGAATTTTTTTGTCCTATATTTTAATTTAGACCACAAAGCAATACACCGACAGACAGACAGACAGACAGCCAAAAATGCTGAAAATTGTTGATTTGGCTTCTGTTGCTCTAATAAATGCCCACCATATTAATAACATGGATATTAAGGTGTACCTCCTCCATCAATTTTTATGACGTCAAGTAGCCTGTTTGACAGTGAATTACATAAACTTGGAATGTAATTATTTGGTACTAAAAAGTGAATGCAGTCGCTATTGCATCGAAAAGTGTTGGCATGGAGTCGTGCTGTATAGATATTTCGCAACAACTATCCCCACACATTAGGTGTATACTCGTATTGAGCGGACAAAAGTATCCAGCAGCAAAAATTCTGAGATTTTAGCAGCATTCGCTCTCAAAGAGACAAAATATCCGCAGAAGTGCGAGCACGGAAAATTTGCAAAAACTTGCAACCTTCGAAACAGCTGATCACTTCCACAGTTGCCACTGGTGGTTCATTTACCAATTTATTTTCTGCTTGTTCCCCCGATTTGACATTTTATAAACTCTGGTATATTTAAAGGAATATTATGGTACAAACAAAAATGCCGTACGGCAACCATAGTCGGCACACACTAAAGTAAACAAACTGGAAATTAATAGTAAATTAACGAAAAACAAACTCAACGAACGTTGTGCTTAATAAAATTACTCACCTTTTCGTT